ACGATTTTATTCGTTAATATCGATTTTTCAAATTACACAATATAAGTACTATACTTTTTTTTCTTCTTTTTCTTCTTTGTCTCTTATGTAAACATACATACAAATTACTTCAATTTACTTTTATTCTTACTGGGTTTCGATTTTTTCATCTTAGTTATTATTTTCATTTCTTTGTTTAGTTACTAGTTTTGTTTTGGTTTTTCGCTTTCTCAGAGTATTTCAATATGTTTACATAAACATATATATATATATATATATCCCTTCTGAAAAAAATATCTACCACATTAAGTCAAGAAATCATAAAGAATAAACAAATACATAAAGATTACAGTAATGTATATTTTGTTTGATTACTTTTTCCGACTTCTTTTTTTGTTCGAACATGTATTTGACTTGACAAATCCAATGGTAGAATGATGTAATTTTATTACAAAAGGGGAATAAGTTTTCGTGAAATACTACCACTTATCTTATTAAGTTGTTGAAATTAATCGTGTAGATAGGTGCAGACTAATTTTTTGTTACATCCTTGAGATTATTGGAAACTTTGTATGAAATGGCTTACAAATTGGTTACAGTTATATTTTACTATAATTTCCCTTGATTACCTCGTCTCACCATGATGATATAATGTCCCGATTTGAACAGATCCAAGTTCTCCACTTTGTGTAAGACTTATTAAAGACTCATTTTGACTGGTGTTGAACTTCAATGCTAACTGTTTGATCTCACAATTCCAGTTTCCATGTCTGAATACCAATCTACCTGCATTGGGTTTCTTATTGGTAAAAAAAGAAAGCACCACAAGCCATCGATGTCTTTTATACGAATCTAATCTTGGTGAATTATATTAATCCACAATTGATGTAGTCAAGCCTTATATTTATAAACACACATCGGCAGACATGATATCCGCACCCCAGCTAAGGCATACTACCAGAATCTCGAAATAAAATATGTCTCATATTTAATTTAAATTTCTTGTTTGGTTACTAGTGAACAGATTGACAAAAATATTCACGACCGGGCGAACATATATTTTATTGTTACGCCACTTCAAGTTGAATGATGACTACTCAATCAAAATTGTCCTTATTATAGAATGATAATATGACTTAATAACAATTATATCCACGACAGAATTACGTTTTGTATAATTCTACTCTCGGTATATCACTCGCGTAAGCATGGAATTCAACAAGTCGCTACCTTGAAGCAAAATTAGTAGATCAATATGCTTACTTCACACTAAATTAACATATATTGCATATATGACTGAGCATCGAATAATAGTGACTTGTCTAACAACAGATAGATTAACTGATAACTAATATCGTGAGAATGCAGAGAAAAAAGTCTCACAATAGATTAACACATTGCAAAAATCTTTTCTAAAAACTACTCTCATCAGTTCATAACTGTTGGGAATGATTCACACGATTGATTATACATTTAAAGTATTAATATATATTAAGATCATAATTATTATTGTGGAACTAGTACGCTTAGAAATCTATTCATTAAATAATAGACGATCATCAAATTCAATCTATTTAAGTATTCATCTTATCGATGAGTCATAAGATGGAATATTAATTCTCTTCCATGATTAAGATCAAAAGTATCTCTGTTGTATTTAAGCTTCAATTTGATACACTGATGTAAAGACATGATTCATAATTGTTCATATCTAACAGTTATTAACTTAAAACAGGAAATAGATTTAAATGGATAAGCTTGTACGGAAAATATTTGGTGTTCAGGTATATTATAGTCCAAGTTCAAATCTGATAACAATCAATATTCTTTACATGGAAATGTGTAGATTGTAACCAAGTATATCATATTACATAAAGAATTCTTTATTATTAAAGTATTTTAAATATCATGTAGAAAATGGTTTGTTACAAATCCGACCAAGGATACCTGCTATACATAAAACCATTAGTGTTAAGTTAACTAAACCGTATTTCAGATTGGGTTTTTCTTTATACATAATGTCAACTTTGTTGTTTTAATTCATTCGGAAAATTAAATGAATCAATTAAAAACGATTGTGTACAAATATACGACAGAAAATTTATTGATCAATAAACATTTCATTTGTACTATTCGAGGAAGAAATGTACTCTTATTGTTTCCTCAAACTAGCATTAACAATCAAGGTTTTTGTTCATTTGCAAATGAAGTTATCAATTCTGTAAGAAATGCTTTTTAAATGAAAATTTAACTTTAAAAATATGCATATCACTGAAATACAAGTGTAGGAAAAGTAACACATCGGAAATGAGCCAAGTACCTATGGATAAGGGTAAATAAAGAAGTCTGAACAACAGTTTCACGTTAGAAATTCACCAATCTATTTCTAAGTTGATCACAAGTGAATTGATTAAAATTAAAAATATCAATTAATCATGAGATGTCATTGTCTTAGATGATTAACCTATTAAGAATTGTAAATAATTAGAAATAAAGAAATGGTGACATCAAGGATAAATTTGGGTCTTAAATGAAGGTCATTTATTTCTAAAATTGTTTTGAATATATGGAAACCAGGTTAGCAGTCTAAAAGTTAAGTGAACAATGGAAGAACTTAAAATCGACTTGACGGTGATCGGAATGTAGGAAACCCTTTGGATCCAAGCTGGTCAGAAAAGGTTAGGTTCGAGAGAGATGTCTCTGTACTCTGGTCACGAAGAAGATGCTATCCAATACTGTGCATCAATCAAGAATAGAAACGATTTCTATAAAGATCAGTTTTATGAGAGGCCGCAATCGATCATGGTGAAGTGCTTGGCAAAGGACTTGACCAACATGATGGGAGGTCTAAACGCCAAATTCGATATGGACAACACTGGGTTTGAAGATATAATAGGATTGTAAGAACTGGGAGAAAGGAACAAGAATGGATAGAGATCTACATATTTACCTGCATTCAATAAAATCGTTGTAGGTGGCACAATGTTACTCTACAAACGCATGCACAAAGCTACATGGGTCTCACTGGATCACATTACACAGAATCAGTTCGATCAAATTTGCATCACTAAAAAGTTCACAAAGTCTATGGAAGACGTGAGAGCGACAATGGAAAAAGGTGCACAAGAAGGAAATATGAGACGGTTATATAACACAACGAAGAAACTAGAAGGGAAATATAGTAAACCAGAAACACCAGTCAAGGACAAAGAGGGCAAGACAAACACTGAGATTCAAGGACAGAAGAACAGATGGGTGGAACAATTCGAAGAACTCTCTGACAGACGGGCTCCAATGAATCCACCGGCTATCGAAGCAGCACTTACAGACATCCCTATAGATGTCACTCCGCAAACGATTGAAGAAATCGGAATGGCCATCAGACAACTTGCGAGTGAGAAAGCAACAGGACCTTATAACATACTAGCTGAAGCACTAACGTCATACATAAGAGCAACTGCAAACATGCTCCATGTACTATTCAAGAAGATTTGGGAGGGGGGACATGTGCTGACAGGCTGGAAAGTAGAATATCTTTGTGTTTGTATAAATTAATGATTCCTTTGTACTTGATTCCTATTTCTTATAATAATTCTGATGCTTCTACTCATCACAATATCTCATCACGTCACCAAAGAGAGATCTGTGCAAATGTGAGAACTATACAGTCATCATACCTCTACTGGTACCAGGAAAATTTTCCAACAAAGTGTTGCTGAACCGGATAAAAGATCCAATAAATGCCCAACTTCGAGATCAACAGATAGGATTCCATAAGGATTGATAGTGCACAGACCAAATTGCAACACTAAGGATCATCACTGAACAATCAATTGAATAAAAGTCAACATCATGGAACCTTCTTCAATACTATGGTGTGCCTGAGAAAATCGTCAAAATCATCCGAAATTCATACGATGGACTACAGTGCAAAATGGTGCATGGAGAACAGCTGAAAGACACATTCCAAGTGAGGACCGGTGTCAGACAAGGCTGGTTACTTTCCCCCTTCCGCTTTCTTATGATGGTTGAATGGGTTATTCAGACGTCCATATTTCAGGGAAAGCGCGGAATACAATGAACTACTTCTATGCAACTAGTTGATTTGAACTACACAGATCACCCAAGCCTTCTATCCCATGCACGCGAGTTAAGACAACCAGTGTAGCAGAAGCCTCTGAATCATTAGACCGTTATATACATAAGGGAAAAAGCAAGATCCCCAAATAAAACACGGAGAAGTCCAAACCAATCACAGTTAATGGAGAAGCTCTGGGACGGGTGGAAAGTTTCATGTATCCAGGTAACGGCATCGATGAACAAGCAGGGTATGATTCAGACGTAAAAGTAAGGACAACATTCTTACAGTTGAGGAACATATGGAATTCACAACAACTGCTAACCAATATCAAAGTCAGAATCTTCAATACGAGCGTCAAGACCGTTCTACTGTACGGAACTGAAACTTCGGGAACTACCACAATCTCAATATCTTTAATTTTTTAGCGCAATACAAGCGATGCTGAATTACTATGACTGGTGTCCACATAACAACTTATCTCATAAAAGAATTAGACAAAGATTACTCAACAATAAAGTAATTGTAAATTTACCAGTCCTACAGTAAGTTAGTCAAGACCCTAACAGCTCAACAATAGCGTCTCATACTGTGAAGCTGGTCGACCTCTGTCTGAAACTCCTAGAGAACACCGATCCTCTCAATATATATTTTACTGACAATTTACAATCAACACGAAACCTAGGTGAAAACAGTTGTCTTATCGACTACTTCTGATTAATTACAATTGAACTAAATGTATGTTTAAATGAAGTCCTATATTTTGTGTTCATTAGTCGTTGTCTAGTCTAATCTGAGAAAATTAAGCCCACATTTTTACTTTTCTTTATACTTGACAGAGTAGACATCATAGGTCAACACATTGACTTGGTCATTAATTTAACACATGATCAGACCTAATTATTTATATTACACCAATATAGATAAACTGAACCAAAGACCATCAACCAATCATGTTCAATATATTATTATTATTATTATTATTATTATTATTATTATTATTATTATTATTATTATTATTATTATTATTATTATTATTATTATTATTATTATTATTTTCATTATGACTCCCAGTTGTGGCAAGACTAAGAAAATATCCATGGTACTAACATACTGTAATGATATACATTATTTTTCCTTTTATGTATCCAAACCATTATTCAAAATAACAATGAAAATAATAATAGGTTTGAGCTTATCTCAAATTTTATTCACTAACTCGTATTATATTACGTAAACTAAAAATGATACACATTTGATGAACGATGTTTACCAATAAACAATTTGTTGTTGTCATTAATTTTTGTTGTTCTCTTGTAATTTCCATCGATCATTACAATCAATTATCTACAAATGGATGTTGAAATTTTGAACTCTATTCACAACCATTAGGTTGTGAAACCGTTTCTCGTACACTAGAATAACATAGCAAATTCACAAAACTACAAAACTGTTCAATTTATAAATGAATTAATAAGTGTTACGTAGTAATTTGACAATTTATCAATGATCCAATGAAATACAGTCATATAAAAGAATTCAATCGTTTCCAACTGCTTTTAAATCTATGATCAAATTATGGTCTAGTATGACCTATTATTCAATGTTCCTAGTTTGTGATAACTAAAATTAACTCCTAGTATCCTTAAGAAATTATTCTTAAATCCATCTAGACATTAGAAACTATACAACATCATTTTTTAGCTGGTATAGAGAATCGTTTCAGTCATCTTTCGATGTGATCATACAAAAAGATTACATAATGTGAATAGTTAAGAAATTGCAGTTGAATCATCGTTGTTTATCGTAAACTGTTAACATGTAATAAGTGACCTTGTCTAACAGAGAACTACTTGATCTTTTCTTTATATGAATAAACGATCGATCAGATAAATAGAAGTTTATCATTTTGAAATTGTTTACTAATTTGGCTATCATATGGGATTCATTATATCTACTACTGTCAGAAGTCTTTCTTCTCAACGCATATATGTAAATAACTGTTATTGATTTAAGACGTCGCTGAAGTACGGTAAGTTTTATTTAGTATTTGCATGTTTTTCATTTAGATTATTCACAAGTAAACTGTATTTGTAGTATGATAGAGGAGATCATTGTCATCACTTATATGATATGACACTAGTCACAACTAACCAATGATTAATTAATGTATTATCACATTCTTAAAGGAAGCCAGTCATAGACCAAACAATTCTTAAGTGACTCCTCAGCCTATAAAAATCGACTACTCGAGTTCGAAACTGACAAGGTTTACTTATTCCCTCTGGACCTTGGTGACAAATGCCAGCTATCACGAAACTCAAGTAAAATAGGGATTGCTTTCAACTTTCTCCAATCACCTAATATATTAGAGAATAATTGATCGAAGACTTGTTATTTGAGTCAACTCATATTCCTATGTATAAAAAAACATAATTCTTCTTAATTCTTACAAAATTCAGTATCATGAAAAACAATCCATCAATAAATATTATCAACATCACCTACTAACCTAGGTTAGATATCTACTGAAAACCTGGAAGCATTAGATAACCATTTCATCCTGTCATAGGGCTCCTCGGAAGTATGCACCCACAACGCCATCACCAAAGGTTAAACCTAGAACCTCAGGTCTTGTATTGAGCCGGTAATCAATGGTGTACATGTCTTATTTCAATCAGTTCATAATATTGCCCAACCATCTTCCATGGTCTTCAGTGGGTAACTAAACTAGATAACTGGTGGTGCCAAGAGACATTTCTGAGGAGTCCCACCCTATGATGAAACAGCTATCCATGGTCTACAGATTTTCAATTTTTGATATCAATAGTATTCCATGATCTTTAAAAATTTCTTTCACTTATGATAAACACAAATCGTTGAACGTGATCGATAAAAAAAATACAAAAAGTTTTGTTTGTACACAAAATTCCTAAGATCAAAACAAATGAAACTAATTTTGGAAAAAAATAGAAGTTAATGTACAACCCGTATTTTATGTGTTTTTAAACAAAACAAAAAAAAAGGTTTTTTAACAAAACAGACAATCCAATAATGATGAAGTGGTTGAAGAAAACTGTCTACTTCTATTGTACCTAACACAAATTGTGTTATCATCAATGTTGTAGAAGTGATTGTCTTGATCAATAATATTTCATTTCACTATTGCAGATTATATTGTGATAGTTAGTCAAGTACTCAATTGATGAGTTGATTAATTGGTGTACACACATACGCGCACACTCATTTACAACTAAGCATGAAAATAAACATAGATGTATATACATTTATAGATCTTTTTATACAGCACAGTGAATGAAGTAATTTTTATAAACGTTGACAGTTAATACTTGTGAAAAAGTGCTTTTTGAAGTTTATTTAGTAAGTATTCAAGTTAATATGACATTTTTTGTCTGAACTGGGTGGTTTATATTGAATACCGGTTAGAGAATTGTACTGTCATACAAATGCTTGAATATTATGTAGATATATTCATGTTTTTAATTATCACTGTTTGTTCGTGTGTGTGTGTGTGTGTATGTATGCAAATGTTACTATAAGATTCTGTCTGGCTGGTCACAACAGTAGGCAATAATTTTCAACAAAATTATATTTTACGGTGAAATGATTAGTAAAATTCATACAAAACCAGTGTAAAACACGTTGTACAATTTGTAAAAATCTACCAATTCATGAATCTACACAATAAACCAATCTTAACATAACCCCTTTAACTATGATACAGTAGTTAGTTGTGAATAGTGGAGATTTCAGACACATAATGGAAGTGAAATATTTGTCGCCATTTGGAATCGATTATATTTGAAACCATAATGTAAAGTGATTATCTTTGGAATTGTGAAATTAGACCATGATAACAAAGTGGTTTTGATAGTTAAGTATGTTGTGCTGTTCAAAATCAGGGTGATAAAACTGTCCATTGATCCTTGATTTTTTTGCATCATGAGCGGGGCCAGTCCTTGGCAAATACAAATAACAAATTGTCTACAAAAACTATAAATGACAAATTGTCATCAGAATTGATTGTACACAAATCTATACAATTCTTCATCATCATTTATACAATTTAATAACTAGTAAAAAGGATTCATCATTTTGTCACTAAGTTACTTAAGATTGATTAAAAAGAAAAAAGAAAAATATTTTCAACCTTGTAGTCTAATGATTAAGCGCTTACTGAGAGACTTGGATGTGTTATGTTTGACCCTTGGAGAGGTTTTGATTTTGTTCTATAGCACAACAAAATAACTGTTTAGTTTCATTTATCCCTTTTTTGTTATACATAAATGATTTTGATCAGTTTTGTTTAGTATTTGTGCCTACTATGTAGATAGCCATTGTATAATGATCACCTGACAGTGAAATCCACTTTTTTGTAACCTGTCTTTTGGTTGTGCCTGGATCCCAGCATTAAGGTTCAACTTCGGACTCGGACCTGGAACATTTCATTTCTTTGGCAAGTATCTATGCCCTTACTCACTGTGTCCAAATAGTCAACAACATCCTAGATTTCACCGATAACTATAATCCATCTTTACTATAAAAATTGTGACAAGTGAGACACAAACCAACTGACTGAGTGGAATACTATCCTGAATAGCAACAACGTAATAATGCACTCTTATGAATTACGACATAAACAATATACACAATGGAAAAGATAGTGGCTATCTGTATTCATTGGATTGTTCAATGTGTGTCGCTATAATGTTTGACGAGAAAAGTTCTGGGTTCTAGTTACAGTGTGAATAACAAAGTTGATATGTGTTAGACACTCCTAACTAATGAGTTTTAAATTAACACAAAACGCGCGTCTAACACCACACCTCTAGTCACAATTCCTTTATTCTATAGATATTTATTTACTTGAACAGATAAAGATGACTAGAAAGATTATCAGAAAAATGGAAGCTTTTTCACTGGACTTAGAAACATTTTAATTTATTTTTCTAGACTAATAATAATACAAATTGATGATTTAGTGATCATTTCTATAAGTTGAGTTTATTTCCTATAATTAAACTAACTAGACTGTAAATCAAAGAGAAGAAAATTGATAACTGAAGTCGAAGAGTAAATTAATTATATGCTTTTTTGTAAATAATAATTTCGTTGTATAGTTTGGAAATAGTTCAACAAAGACTATATTTAATATTTTATTCATTTAATCAAAAACATGACACAACTCATTATGTTTTACATCAAACCAGTAATAATATATTTAAATAAATTGGATTTGTACAATTGGCAATCGTATTATGATTGTTAGTTTGGACTGAATTTAGTTACAGTCATGGATCGATATTACCTGTGGAGTATTTTGTAATATAAGTTTTTATGGAAGTTCACTGTATTAGTGCGAACTCATTAACCTGAAAAAAAAGATTGAAAACAGAACACTCAAGTCTATGAAGTTGGAATCTAATGAGACTTCAATATTTGGTTTAGTTGTGTGTGTGCATGTGTATGCATTTTTGTGGAGTTCAGTTCTCAACGAAAACCATTGTCTAATCTTCAGTGGATTCTAACAAACTTTAAGATGGTACATTTTCAATGTTGATATTTAGTTCATGATGCTTAAGCGGTGTCAAGTACTGATATATAAGAGAACATTTGATCAATCTTTGTTTACAATATATACATACATTTTAAGGAGACAGCTTCGATAAAGTATTACTTCATAAGACTTAATATGTTCACTATATGGCTAGTAGTGGAAGCAAAAACACATGTTTCAGTTTTTTGAAACTATTCAGTTGGATATACCATCATCCTAATGATAGTACTCACACGGTGATTCAAACCCAGTATGCTTTGCTTCACATAACTAACACGTTATCCCATAAGCTATTGATTACATATTGGCATTAAATTGTTCTACAAACATGAACTTATATGTAAAGATTTGAAGTATCCTATTGTTGGTATTTTGGGCTGAAATAAATTGATCTTGGTTTCCAGGTTAAATATGCATATTGCAATATTGTAAATATGCTAATTACTAATATTGATAAATAGAACATATTAATCTCTGTGTATACTTACTTACGTTAAGATTTAAATTGAATGGCAAACAGATATGAAATTCATATGGAGTCAACCATAAGAATTCTAATACACATACTCACCAGTAATATCCTTGGAAGGGAATCATGTTTAGATCAGATATATCATAAATATGTACTCCTGTTTGATAATGAATTCGAATGTAACATCTGTAGAATGATTACTAACTTTAGACATTTTTTCATTTTAATACTGATGTTAGCCAAACAATTATTGGAAACTAGGGTGTAGTGAACAATT